GCAGATAATTTTGAAGTAATGTAAATTAGCAGTGCGATTGAGTACGTTTGAGAATCGTGTTTGGCTTTGTTAATATCTTATTACAGAATGAAAGCTATTATTATAATAAAAAAAAAACATAACGCAGTTGCGGAATGATTTCCACTAGCAAACGATATCCCCCGAAATTAGGCAATCACACTGCAGATGGCATGATCTTGAAAATGCCGATATTGAGCCGTAGACTTATTTTTCATTTTAAAGCAACTGAATTATTCCAGTCTGTAATTAATATTCATATCTAAAAATTACGTGTCACATTATTTGTCCACGACGAACTTCTAATCTACAGATTTCATTGAAATTTTGTACGCAGTTTGGTCTAAGTGACCCTCAATATTTTTATTGTGAATTTAGGGATTTTTTATTTGACAATAGGTCGTCAGAAAGTTTATAACATCTGCCTGGTCACGTACAAGCACATTATACATGCACTATGAAATTGGTAAAAATAATAAAATATATTCGTTACAACGCCATCTGTACGTTAGCTGTAGTACGAGAAAGCAAGCGTGGTGGGTAAACCAAAGAAAATCAAAATTTCAGCTGCGACCTTTAAAGAAAGACGTAGTAGCAATATAAGGTTGTAGATGGCGCTATTAATCATAATGTTGAGAGTAGAAGGAGATTTAGTATATCAAATTTTTAAAGATTTACTTATTTATTTATTTATATTTACATGAGATGTATTAAATGGCGTTTATTTTAAATCATTTTGCTTTTATTGACATGTTAAGATAGGTTTTGTATTAAACTAAAAAATATTAGAGTAGGTATTATTTTAATCTATTCTTTAGATTCCGGAGAAAAATTTTGTGCTTGAAATTCAATGAATTTTATATATTTGTGTTACGAATGTATGAAAGTATCTATCAAAAACTATTAATATATCCTGTGATTTTTCCTGAAGTGTTATCTAATGTTTTCAAATGAATATATTTTTGCACGTGGTAGAGCCACACTGCAGCTATTATAGTTCTACTATGAATGGGTCAGCTCGACCGGGGAAGGACCACGCTGTCACAGAATACCAGCGTAAAATAGCAGCTTAATGCTGCTATGTTTCGTATGGTGAGTGTAATGAACCGGAGACCCGTTTTACTGGAATCGAGGCATTCCATATTAGTCCACAAGGCTGACAACGCATCTGCATTTTGATTCCTAAGCAAGATTATATACATTTCTATGGGCCACAGCACCCACTTACCATCAGGTGGACTGTGTGCTCGTTTGTCACCCTTATCATATAAAAAAGAATACTGCTCCTGCCCCGCTCTGCTGCCCTGCTTTTTGAGTAAAGTCTTGGTCCTTGTGCGAGTACCCTCTGACAGTATCAAATAATCGCGGTTCATTTATTTTAGTCACATTTTATTCTAATTTTACCCAATATTTTTAGCAGAAAAGTACTTTAAATTCTTTGATTAAAACCACTTTTTGGAAAAAAGTATCTTTAAAGACTAGTTTGTGTATTTATTTATTTAGATTATATAACTTATTTTTTTACGGTAAAAGTTAAAAAAAATAAAATAACTAGTAAATTAAATTAATATGTAACATAATTGTAAAACAATCTTTTAAAAATATTGTCACTTAAAAATTAACATGAAAATTAGGTAGCAGTTTGTGTAATCAAATAGTACTCGAATATATCACATTTGGAACATATATTAACAAGTCTTACATTTTAGAACAGTCTCAACATCAGAAATGACTGCTTTTCAGTCATGACTGGGATGTGGGTCTGCTTTTTGAGTGTGTTAAGTTAAAAATAGGGCAGCAACAATATCCAATCGACATTTTTTGCGTTTTGGTAGTCGGTTCATCCCCTGAGCAACCATTGAATTCTTCATCAGAGCTTACAATGTTTTCTCGAAAATTTGTTCTCTCAATGTTAATTTAAAATAAATTAATGGACCTAATTTAATCGAGAGTGTTCCACTTTTGATAGAGTGGACCCGATAAATTAATCATGACTTCATCCCGCCAATTTCAGCATATGTAATATAAACCTAGTGATTTTTTGGTTTTTGCTTTAGTTGGACACACAGCAAATATACAATCCACTAAATCAACGTCTCCCATAGTACTGCATTATCATTAAAATTTACCCACTATTTATGAAGTTGAATGCCGTCACTTTCATCTCCTCTACTTAAAGATAACGGTTGATGTTTGATATTTAATGGCGCTTCTTCTTTACTTTCAGATAAATCACCCTATTTATTTAGAACTCTTAATATGTATTTATTGTCTGAACTGAATAAAAACGAAGACAGTTAATAGACATGCTCTCGTGTGTTCTGTTAAAAAAAAGAACTTTTCGTAATTATTAAAATAAATGAGACCTGTGCCCTGTTTATCAAAACTCACAAGTCTACTTGTTCACAAGTTACACTTTACAAGAAAGTTTTTACAAGTTCGAGTAAATTATGTTTATCAAAAAAATCTACAGGGCTTGTAAAATTTAACACTTGTAGGTTCTACTTGTAAGTTCTTGAAAACAAAAATGTGTCTCGCTTTCTTTTCCCGACATTTTGTTTTTGCTTTTTATTGAATCCTTCCTTATTTAAACGCATGGATGTATGGTATATCGTCTGTGCCTAATTTTGATGGGACATTAAAAAAAGTAGTAGCACAGGTAGTAGCGACAAAGTGTTTCCGCCTTTTATATGTAATTTGAAGTGTATTCCCGGCGATATTTTGCAATTTCTTGTAAAACGTCTAGAAATGATAATAAAATAACGATTTTACAACTGATTCGCGACAAAAAGTTCTTTAAGTCGAAACCTTTCATTAAATTTATAGGTCGTCTCCATATGACCGTAGTCAATTCTTGTTCTATATGTTCTTGGTTCCATTATTCTAATATTTCCATCATCGCTTGAGTTACTTGACTACATTTTAAAAAAGACAATCAAATAAAAAAATATTACAGTACTACTTAAAACACTTGTAAGACGGAATTAAGAGTCGCTGGACACTACAAGGGATTTTTGATAAACAAAATCACGAATACGAGTGTAAAAATATAATTGTGAAATAAATAATGACCCTTGTAACTTGTAATTTACACGTGCAGTTTTGATAAACACATATTTGTAATAATTAATTTTTTACAGGAAAATTGCTTGTAATACAAGGCTTGTAAATTTTGATAAACAGGGCACTGGTCATAATTAATTATATTTCGCATATGAGTTTCTTGGCTTAAACTTACCGATTGCTTTGTCCTGACCGTAAAAGCAAGAATTTTCGGACATACTGATCGGTGATTGATTTTTACAGGTCTATAATTATGTTTTACCGATATTCTCCTACGTGGTTATTATTCTCACATTTGATATCAACATTTTTTAACTATAATTCTTTATATTCCAGAGAAATATACGTCTTTTTATAGTATAGATCACACACGTATATATATATATATATATATATATATATATATATATATATATATATATATATATATATATATATATATAGTACAGTCCATTACAGGTCTGCTGCTGAACATAGGCTTCCCCCAAGTAATGCCACAAAGTACAGTCCTGAGCCACCTGTATCCATCCATTTCTTACACCTCGTACCAGGTTGTTATTTCATCTAGTGGAGGGCCACCCTGCACTTCGCTTATGCAAGGATTCCACCAAAGAACCTACCTTCATCAGTTGTCCGAGCTATTAGTTGATCTGCCTATAAGGCCATTGTTTATAGTTTTTTTTAAGAATATTAACAATGCAATAAACATTACTAATATTCCCCTTAACCACTCGTGGTAAGATTAAATTGCTTGTGTTACGAGTGGTTCACGCCCGTAGACGAATGGCGGATTGGAACCCACGACCTTTTTGAGTTCGCGGTCCGCGCCTTGCCATTAAGATACTGTCGCTTCAATTAGTTATAATTGTTAATAGAATATTAGATATTAGCAGTGAAACTCGGCGTTTCCCGGGTCAAAGTACCTAGTTCCAAACCTAGACTGCACAACTACACTGAAATTCAAAAAATCGTTGAAACTATATGGAATGACTTTACGTATATTCCAGATGAGAATTTTATAGATTATTAACTCTTTAAGATTAGTTTTTGAGCACTTTGTTTATTGATTATCACTTGGACGTGGCTGAAAACTGACTGACAAAAAAAGCGATGACTTCCGCTTATATACTTTGGGCAATCGAAATTTCTAGTTTCAAACCTTTCTAGACAGCACAACTATACTAAAATTAAAAAAAATCATTGAAACTCTGCACGGATTGACTATATGTATAATTTAGAATAGAATGTTCTAGATTATTTACTCTTCAAGGTTATTTTTTGAGCACTTTGCTTATTGATTATTATTACTTGGACGTGACTGAAATCCGACTGACAAAAAAACTTTGACTCCATTATCAATTTGACACATCCAGGTGATATACTGTCAACAATCGAAATTTCTAGTGCCAAAACTTTCTAGCACGCACAACTACACTGAAATTCAAAAAACGTTGAAACTGCATAAATTCGACGTTATTGATTGAGTTCCTCTACGTAATTAAAGATAAAGGTTCGAGAGTGTCAGACCATACTAGGTGGAGTGACGACCTTATAAGACTTCCAGGGAGCCGATGGATGCAGGTGGCTAATGGCCGTGTTATGTGATAATTCCTTAAAGAATATCTGCTGGAGCTGATGACTTTGTTTTGTATCATTCCTAGGAGGAGTCCCATTTCAGCAGTTTCCTTTTGAAAAAAGGTTAATAAGGACGATGATGATGTTTCTAAATCCTCACAACTTGAGAAACGATTAAGGGAGGATACACAAGAAGAGGGGTATATACATAATATGATAATAAAATAAAATAATATTATTAATCAAATACTTAAAGATTTTGTTTTAATACAGCTACGTACATTGTTAAAGTTATATGAACTTAAATGAATATACACTATAAAATTAACTCCTTTTCCATTTCATTATAGTGTCTGATTAGCGTCTACTAGTTCTGATAGTCTACGTCGAAGTTGTTCGATGGGCGCCGGCATATTGTCGTTAGAGGGGAAATCTCGAATCTCGGGAAAATAGGGGGTCGTTGGTGGTGATGTGCTTAGTTGCAATTCCATCGTAAGTCTTGAGTTAAGCACAGTGGGGTCGAACATACCCAAGCTATTTAAATAAGGGGCACGTCTATGTTCTGGATGCTGGATCATCCAACGGCAGTATTCTTTCACACTTCTGAAAAATATATGTACAGCAATATATTATAAAAATGTATCAATCAACTTTGGAATTTTAGTTTAATAATTTTAGAGCTTCTTTTTAGTTTAATAAATGGAATATACCGAGTGCAATGTTTTACACAATAATCGACATTTTTACTGAAATCTGTACGATAAAGGTACATGAAATTTGCTAAAACTTTTTTGGTTGGATTACCTGAAGGCATAATGCAATAAATGTATGCATATGCAATATAAAAGTATCAATCAAAACAGGGGTTCAGTCAGTCAGCTTCTTATAGTCAGGAACAGGACGATTTATAAAAAACTCTACAGTTATATTAGCAATTAAACGAAAAATCACATCACTTTGTTTATGTAAAGAGTTTATCACCATTTTTTTAAATAAAAGACAAAACTTTTGACTCATGCGGTTGATACATAATGCAAAATAACCTCTGAATCAGAAGGACAAAGTTTTCAATAGAGTGCATAGGATTATACGTACATAAATAAATTTATAAGAAGATTAATAACAGGAGTGCCGTGATAGCTCAAGAAATGAGTATCCACGCATAATACGCGAAAAACCTAAGTTCGATCCTCCAAAATCAACAAAATCGTTAATAACACTTAAAATTTGATTCACTACTTTTGATAAAAGGAACATTACCACACAAACGTAAATTTTAAAAATTGTTTAAAATTTTAAAAACGCCTTGTTGAATCACATTTGCACACCATCTATCGATGACGCTGCTTATCTGTTGTACTGTTTTTTAACTAAATCGGTATGGATGAATTAAAATAAATTCTTATGAGAAAAAATATCCTTTATTTTGTTTAATGTTATTTTAGATATAAGCATATCATTATAAAATATTATTTTACAACATTTAATTACGACAGCACGTGATAACTCAACGCCACCATTGAAAAATTCTAGGTACGAATTTTTTCTTCGTACCTATACTTGAGAATATTAATCATAACTTTTTATAGAATGAACCAATTTTAATAAAACAAAGAGTAAATATAGCTCGAAGGTACACTTTATGATTTACTTAACAATAAAAAAAAATATTAGTACCTTAATGTGATGCGTTCATAAACAGACAGACAAGGAATTCAGAAAATGATAGCAATGTTGTTAATTGCTTCCCTTCAGTCCACTTCAATAATTTTTGTAACATAAATATGCAATGGGCAGACACATGCAATTTACATTTTTATTAAATGTATTGATAGATTTTAGCTTTCTGCACTCCTTTTCGATATAAATATAGTTAATAACAAAACTACCTATGCCAAATCTCACATATCCATACGTTCAATATGCTTAAAAAGAGGTAAGTACAAAGTTTTCTTTTCACCTATTAATATGTAGATATTCGTTTTTATACCATGAGCGGAATTACATTTATAGTTACATACTTAACATACATTTAATAAAAATGTGTGTTTAAGTAGTAACTATAAATATCTTCTCAGTTTCCCTTGTTGACTTAGCCAATATCGGAATACTATCCATACCATCTGGATGACTGGTGATCCATCACTATGCAATTTAAAAATTTTCTTCCTCGCACAACTTGTCGAATCGACTACCACCAGAGATTTTTCCGGACCAATACGACTTAGAGACCTTCAAGAAAAGAGCCTACTCCTTTTTAAAAGCATCGCCTGGTGGCAATTCCCCTGGTGTTGCAATTGTTCATGGGCGGTGGTAGTCACTTACCATCAGGTGAGCCGTATGATCGTTTTCCCCCACTCTTACTAAAAAAAAACTTTAAAGGTATTATAGAGGTAGGATGTATAAGGTCTAACTAAAAAGCATTTAGCGGGTTGTGTTGCTCCTCTCCTATAAAAAAAATTCTAATATATGTATAGTTGAAGCTTTCTATACCTTAAATTAGTGATGCCTTCCCACACAGTCTTTAATGTAACCAAATCTTTAGGCACATGCCTAGCGGAATGCCACTGGTTCTTCGTATCATTCTTCGGAGCACGCCATTGGTCTTGCCTGGGAAGACTTCGTCCAAAAGCCCGAAGATTATCTGGGCGTCGTTCTGCTTTAATATCTTTTGATATTTCTCTTGCTAATGCAGCATTGCGCGATAGCTATATTATTTTTATTATGTCTATTAATGTAATGTATTATAATTTTTAATATTTTTATTTTGTTATTTCAAAATTTGAGTACCTAAAAATATTATATGTTAGAAATAAGGACTGTTATTAGAGTATGATTTTGATAAGTGTAAAAAATAAACGGAGCACTAAAATATATAAATAAAGTAAAATATATATTGAATAAAACTAGTTTTATGGATTAAGGAATACTATCTTAAATTATTTTATTCACTTTATTTTATTGTTTATTTTTTATTTAAAATCTACTACTTTATTGTTTATTTAAACTGTATTGTCAGCGGTAGCAAACTCACTCACTTAGTCATTACACTGCTCAATAAAAGCAGAGGTGCGATATAAACAGTCTTAATAGCGAAATCATTGGCTAAATTAAAATATAAATAATAAGTTAGCACATTTGCTATCAGTCTTATACAATATTTGGATAAGTCAAATCTATCCTTGGTAAAAAAATTCTTAGTTAAATTATTAATATAAATCAAATAAATTTTATCATTATTATTCTTACAATTGTCAAAATGTCAAACATAAATTGGTATTACATGTCATATTATCATCATTATTTTTCAGATTTACATATATTCATATCATCATTACAGCCCCTCACAAGTCCACTGCTGAACATAGGCCTCCCCCAAGCTATGCCACAAAGCACGGTCCTGAGCCACCTGCATCCATCGACTTCCTGCATATCTTACCAGGTTGTCACTCCATCTAGTAGGGAGACCATATTCCCGCCATGAGTAACGACATAAATTATTCATTATCAAATTAAAATTATATCTTAGTTTAGTTTCTCGTGGTTATCCCACGTAAGTAAAAAGGCAACTTTACGCATATTTAAGCTATTATGATATTCAATATGTTATAATAATTTATTCTCGTTCATATTATTTGATATAGATGATGAATATGATATCATCATCATAATATTTAACGTTACAGTATATCAAAAGTCGGCTGAACAAAGGCCTCCCCTATAGCTTGACTCATACAGGATATTTTCAGGTAGAGTCTTATTTTTGGAGTTGGAAATGCTGCTATCCATCTCCTCCTTTAGTCTCTTTTGTCGCCTTTTACGACACCCAGGAGTTGAAAATATGGAGTAGTCTCTCATCTTTTACCACCACTATACGCGAACAAAACTGATTATAAAGAATAATTTGGATAAACCTCCAAATTTCCGGTTGCTGCGGCTACTTTGTCAATAACGGTAGGCATCTCTTTAGGTACTATTTGAAGACTGCGGGTGACATGAGTGTCAAATTCAACCTGTAAATAAAACATAAAAATTACTGTAGCTGGGCACCTTGACCCTATATACCCACGTACATATTACGTATATGTACGTGTAAATATAGTTTATAGTTTAAACGTCAACATCCCAAGTTTCAGTCCCAATTTCGATTCAGTTAAAAAAACTAAGAGGAAATAAGAAGCGAAAGCCGACTTCGAAAAAATAAAAAGAACAAAATAATTTCACGTTCCGAAGTTGTGTGTGCGGGTGCGGGACGTTCCGATTTTCAGTTTTTTTTATTATAGAATAAGTGTCACAAACGAGCACACAGTCCACCTGATGGTAAGTGGGTGCTGTGGCTCATAGACATCTACATTTAACCTCGATTAAGAATCAAAATGCAGATGCTTTGACCTGTGGACTAATATGGAATACCTCGACTCCAGTAAAACGGGTCGCCAGTGCTCTACACTCACGATTAAGCTGCTATTTTACGCTGGTATTCTGTGAAAGTGTGGTCCTTCCCCGGCCGACCCATCAAGCTACAATCATAATATAGCCGCACCGTGGTTCTACCACGTATAACTACGACTACTACGAGTAATAATACGTTCCGATTCACCCTTGATCAAATGCAAATGTTCCGATTTTTACTAACGTCCTCAGTCTCAATAATTTTTACAATAAAAATTAATACATTTGTAAGCTAACAACTTATGCTGCGGTTGACATAAATAAGTTAACTGAAACAATAAACGTCTTGTCAATGTGGTGTTCCACGCTAGAACTTCTATCACTAGTTAATTTCTTCAAGCGGTTGTATTGTTGTTTTAATAAATAAAGTGACATTATGCGTCCGATGCAAGAGTTTTTGTCTGAGTCTTTCAGGTTATTTTGAAGATAACTTGTGGCGGCTTAAGATTTTTGTAGCTTTTTTGCCATTATAGCTATCCCGATTTGAAATATAAATTTCCAATTATTTTTACCTTAGTTCCGAAATTTTACTCACTGGACCTGGAAATTCTGGTGCTAGAATATAGTGTATATAAAAATAAAACTTTAACACTTCAGAATATGAAATTATTTTATTCTTTCTGGTGTTTTAATGTGTGTTTAAACTTTTTATCATAAGTTTTTTATTTGCAATTTCAAGGAAAAGGACTAAGAAATATCACAATCTTTATGTCGTCTAAATAGGTACGTACATTAAAAAAATCACTCATAATTTTAACACTTTAAGGGGTGTTTGCAATAAATTTATATGTAACTCACATACCAAAAACATACAGTCAAATTGTAAACATTCCCGTTTTTTGAATTTGGCTAAAAAGAACTGAAATCAAATTTTAAAAGCGAAAGAACACAAACAAAGCATGACGAAAACATTCTCAACACATATTTTTGCGATCATGTAAAAGTTGACCTGCATTATATCTATTTATCTTATCTATCTTAATATATACAAATTACGTGTCACGTTGTTTGTCCGCGATGGACTCCTAAACTACTTAACCGATTTTAATCAAATTTGCACACCGTGTGCAGTTTGGTCCAACTTGAGAGACATGATAGTTATTTTGCCCATGAGTGACACACAATTATTTTTGCGAATTTAAGAATTTTTAATAGGACATGACAAAGGGTCGTCGAAAAGGGCAGAACAACGTCTGCCTGGCAAGCTAGTTTAATAAAACACAAAAATGTCCGTTATAGACTTTGAAACCATCCCACCGATATGCCACAAATCGGTTTCATAAGAAATGCAATAATGCGAAGACGGTTTTAGACCACTTAAACAATGCATTAGGTACTGTATAAAAAGTAAATAAATAAACAAAATTTCCCTTTTTTTTAAAAATAAAATTAATTTCTTTTTTTTAGCGTAATTACACACGCCTGCCAATATGAAATGAAGTGTGAACTTTATCTTTTAATGAATGATGTTTTATGTGTAAGTTATATTGTACTTACTTGAAACAACTCTTTAATAGTTTTTGATGTAAACAATTGTGATTGTTGATCCCCACCTAAAGCTTTCATGTACTCACAAAACTCTTGTGTAATCTGAAATGATTAAATAGAGAGGTAAATAGAGATGCAATAATAATGTCCTGCAGACCAGGACACAGCGGCCTTTCTAAACGGAGTAGACATCTGCGCAGGTCAGGTTTGTATTGTGTGTTAAGTGTGTCCTCAGACATAGTTGCACTCTGATAGTACGATAGTATAGCAATTGACACAACCGAATAGAGATGCACAGGCCCAACGTGGTTCCCGAGTTACAGAGATAAAATAACGTAAACATTTTTACACCGGGTTGACACTGCGATTTTAACAGAACTAGACAACGAGACAATCACAGTCACATACAGGTATAAGGACAAGGAAGCATATAAAGTTGCTATTAACTAGTATTTTTTATAAAATATATCGTTTATTATTTTAATAACGTTAAAAGCTTTTAAGAGTTTTCTTCTATCTTGTGTGGATTGAAACGACTTAGGACCTTCAAGAAATAAGCTTACTCCTTTCTAAAATCCGACACCTGTGACCCCTGGTGTTGCGGTGCTCGCGGTAGTCACTTACCATCAGGTGAGCCGTATGCTAGTTTGCCCCCTCTTCTATAAGAAAAAAAAGCTGAAATTTATTATATCATCGTAACAAATTATTCCCTAGTTCTGTATAATACATTTCGCTTAAAATCATAAAGCAAATGGATCAGATTGAATCACACAATAAAGTTCAGAGCGTGCCTCATATCAGACAGCTGTATTCATATGATACTAAGAATTATGAATTTATAAAAAAAAAATTATTATTAAATTCTTTTTGTTATATAAATCCATTGTTGGACATGGGACACTTCCACATACTGAGGGTTTATCACAATGACTTACTTGCTTACTTACTTACTTACTTATCTTCACGCACAATCCCTAATGGGGTAGCCAGAGAGAACAGATCGCCAAGTGTCACGATCCTTACATACCTCTTTCGCTTCTTTCAGGTTCATTAACTTCTTCATACATGCACGTCTAGGTATCCGAGTACTCTTGACCTTCCCCTCTTCGAGCAATTTGCTCACATGGTCTTCGAAAGTCAGTCTCGGTCTACCTCGACACCTTTTAATATTTACTTTCGCGCTATATAATTTCTTCACCATTCGGTCTTCACTCATTCGCTCAACGTGCCCAAACCATCGGAGTACGCTCTATCAATTTTTGTGATAAGGTCATCTTTCAATCCTGCCATATTGCGAATATTTTATATAATTTCCATATCACAATGACAATGCATGATATGTGGATTAGCGATAGCAATTCCAGTCTTTTCGCCCTTTTGAAGCTACCTCCTTCACCGATCTGAGTATTTTACATCTGGTATATACCAGATGGTATATCCCGTATATACGGGATAGTTATTACGACATTGGAAGCTCTAGGATAGAAAGACTATCTTTAATATTGTATTAGTGAGTAGCATTAATTATTAATATTATGTAGTAGATGTACCCTTTCTGTGAGGTCATTCGCTTTTTTTTCAAGACTTTTCTGATCTTCTCTCTCCGGTTGAAGGAAACGTGTATTCCAGGTAATTTGGTCTCGCACAGGTTTACGTAAAAATTGTTGGTGGATATTCAAAATTTCCTTCTCATCTTCGCTGTAATCGTACAAAAATGTTTTAATTCAAAACTAAATACGAAACTTCGCAATATTTATTATAATATTATACTACTAGGTATGTCTATGTCTATGTTGCGGACAAATGTAAGGCGGAATTATTTATCATCATAAAAATATTATAGATATTTCATTGAAGTTACACATAAATTTTACAGGATAAGGAATATTTAAAAAATATATTTAATTAAACATCAAAGTCAATCCATGAGGCACTCCATCTTTGTCATGATGGTGGTGAGGTGACCACGCTGTAGTTTTCTTAGTTTGAAATAAGTTGCAGGTCACACGCCATTTAATTAAAATTAAAATTTAAAGATATTAACAATGTTTATATCATATATGTAACATAATGTGTATCCTGAGCTAAGTTTCATCGAAACCGGACAGTTACAGACTAGATAGCAAAAACTAGCACCGGAGTCAGAGGACAAGAGGCCTACGCTACGCTACCACATTAGTGTTTTTGTGAGACGTGATATATATTTTATTATGATATTTTATATTATACTACGATATATTCTGCCGTTTTCGGCGTACAAATATTTTCAGATATATTATGTTAGGTTATAATATAAAATCAAGACATAAATTATTATATACCATAAAAATACTTGCAGCAATACTAATACAAACTAAATGGAATCTAAATAAAAAAAGAATATCAATCAATTAATTAATAATATTTTTTAGTTAAAACATGTCAATAAATAAAATTCAGATTAGTTTTAATAATAACAATACGAGTCAAATTTATCATTTACGAAGTCAATTATTGAATTATAACATTTATGATATTTATGAAATAATTTACTTTAAAAATTGCTATATATTTATCCTTTTAAAACAAACAGGCAATTTGTTGCATGTATTAAGTACCATAAAAATGTACATTTTTTGAGTATAGTTGTATTTTTTCCTTTTAGTACCTTAGACCAATCAAAGTTTGGTACACACAATTTATGTACGTTTCCACTAGTCCTAATTACAACTACAAATTGTCATGTGTCAAAAGCCGTCAGATAGACATGGCGTTAATAGTTAAATTTATTTATTTGTTAAAAGTTATTTTTTAATTGTTTTTAACAGATGAAATTAACAGTTCAAAAATATTACTTACTTTTGTAGTGAATTTTATTTTTAGTTGGTTGTGTTAATTTTATTGCATAATTGCTTAAATTTAACAGGTACAGCAAGTCTCTTTATTGTTAAAGTCTAATTAAGCTAGGCGTATTTAAAGGTTTATTAATTCAATACTCATATTATGAATTATCATAAATTCTTTATTATTGAATAAAATATCGGTTTAATTTTTTATGGTGTTTACGACTTCTTTATTATTTACAATGATTATTAGGTATTTAGTATTTACTAAATATATAAAAAAGTTACAAATTTTTCAAGATGGTCCCACAGCTGTGAGTGACGTCTTGGCATGATAAAAGGTGAAAATTAAACTCTAACCAAAATCCTATATTTTGTATACTACACTAAATAATACTACATAATATAAGTAAAAACTAATTTAATTAATTCTTAATTAACTTCCCTAGTATTTATTTTTACAACTTTTCATAAGTATACCCTTGAAATATTTTGATCAAAAAGTAAACCACAGAACACTTTTACTCCTACTGGAGAAGTAAACTCTAAATGAAATAATAATAAGCTGACGCACATCGTTTAAACAGTTAAAATTAATAAGTAAGTAAAGTAAAGTTACAGCCTATATATTACGTCCCACTGCTGGGCACAGCCCTCCCGTTCATTTCTGAGAGGGTTTTAGGGCAAGGTATTGTCCGCCGCGCTGACCCAATGCGTGTTGGCGAACTTCACATGTCTTCGAAATATATTTTTTTCTTATTTCTCTGACATGCAGGTTTCCTCACGATGTTTTCCTTCACCGCCGAGCACGTGGTAAATCAGCACCTAAAATTGCAATTAACAATTTCGTTGGTGCCGGCGGGGATCGAACCAGGTTTGCTCGCGTACTGTGTAATTTACAACGAGCGCTAACCATCTGAGCTACCACGGCTCTAAAATACCAACCAATATTTCAGTTTAATAAAAATATTATTTCAAATGACTTAACGGAAAATGGTTCGTTATTTGATAATATGATAATTTTCAACCACAATGAGATATTTTTTAAAAAGAATACAACAAAGTTTAATTTTATAGCAAATAATTGTTACAATCATTTTTTAATGTGAAGCATAAATTTAATGTAATAAATCAAAAGAATCCATGTTTTTAAAGAATATTTCCTTTATTTCTTCAGTATATAAAATTTTAATAGTGCCATTTACTTCATTCTGTAAATGAGGTCATTTTATTGAACGAAAATTGATTGACACTCAAGGTGGTTCGCAAAGAATACGCTAGATGGCACAAACACGGCTATGACTGGATAATTTTATTCTATAAGGTTAATTTTGTTTATTTAATAAAATTTGTTATTTTTTTTACTATTTATTTTAACAGGTAAAAGATATATTAACCATTTTTACGTTAGATGTAACCGTACTGATATACCCAACAGTACGGCTAGGTACACTGGCACTACATCTAATGGCTTTCATTTATGAAAGGGTAAAAAAATAGCTAGTCGTAGAGTATTTTGACGTATCCTTGAAATCACAGCAGAATAAAGGCAATGACTTTATGTGATTAATTACTACTTATTTATATGTGTCTCTTTAAGTCAGAATAATATCTACCAATATTATAAGACAAAGGTGTTTTTATAGAATAAGAGTGACGAACGGACACACAGTCCACCAGTGAATAAGTGGGTCTGTGGACTACAGCATCCACTTACCATCAGGTGGGCTATGTGCTCGCTTGTAACCCCTATTCTATATTTACAAAAAATAGAGCAAATTACATAGCCCAACGGATTAGTTAGCTGAACCGATAGGAAATAATGGTTCTCAAGATGATGATAATAATTTTTATTTACTCTTACTTAAGAAGTGTATTTTATAAAAATTGCCAATTCTTCCTTTCATTTGTAATAAAGGTTTAATAACTAAGTAAATAAATATTTACCTGCTGCAAATTTCGACGTCGGTATCAGAATCTAATTCACTGTCAATTACTATTGATTTTCTATATGATAGCAAAGGTTCTTTTCTTAATTTTCGGTAAGTCAGTTCTGAAAAAGATCAAGGTCCAACGCAGTGTATCAGCTAAGTTAGGCAAAGGAAAGATATATGTAATGAATATTAAACGAACCGATTCAAGCTACATTCAATCTGAAACCACAGGTTATTGATTTTCGGTGTCGGAAAGTGTCGACAAAGTTATTAGTGCGATTCGTTCCAAGTACTGTGTTTTAAATTAACCGCAGCAATAACTTTGTCGATACTTTATTTCCTTGTCAACATAATTTAATTCTTTTATTTTAAATTATAAAAATAACTATGAAGCGTAAAATGCAAGGACCTCTAAAGTTTATTCTTTATTTTAGGTTACTAGAAATATATGTACAATAAAAGTATATTTAAATATTAAAATGTGGCAAAATTTAGTCCAAAAATGGGCCGTGTTATCAGCTTCGCCGATAAAAGACGTAAGTTCTAACAGGTGCTGAGTTGCATCTTTTTCAATGAATTTTAAAACGTTCTTCAATTTATTAAAAATAAAATAAGTTTTCTATATTTGTCGTAAGAGGTGTCAGACAAAAACTGGCCTTGAACTTGTTCCCATCTTCAAATATAAATATTACAGTTGCAATATTTACAGTCTAACCAAGTATACAAGACGTTTCATAAAATTCTTTGCCTTTTTCTGTTTTATTTGTTATTGAATAAAATTAAGAACAATACAATTATAAACTTTGAAATGGCACTTCATAGACAATAAGTACTTGTCCTTTAATCCCAGAGATGATTTCAAATAGTACTATTTTGCCTTATTTAACAGCTTAGTGAAAAGTTGTTAAACGAACCTCACGTTAGCATGTAACTAATTGGATATTGATATGTTATCTTGATTATGTAGAATTTTAGCTACTTGAAATAATTTCTGACAGTCAAGCAGATACCGATGTGACTCCTGTATTTACTTTTTTTAAGTAAGATCAATTAAATTAAAGTTAAATAATTAAAGTTCAATTACCGGGTAAGTTTACTTTCTGTTCATTAGATTGTCTTAAGTCATCAAAATCTAAAACGCTACAAACACAATCGCAAAGTTCATTAGACATAACTTCTGAGAGATTCTTCATTTCGTTTCTATCCATCTAAAACCAAATACCCATTAGTAATTATATTACAAATGCTGTATATATACAGAAATATTTCAAAGCCTGCTTTACTTACAGGTTGATTTTTATGTTCATGTAATTGTGATAAAGTGTTTTTCCAATATTTTTTATTATTCCGTACCGCTTCCAATCTTTCATATTTCGAAGGTCTGACGACCATGATGTTACGCTTTTCTTTTACTTTGCAAACGCTTGTAGTCATTTCAATTATTAAAGTATTCTAAATAATAATAATTATAATAAAGTAAGACAAACAAATCTCAATATGTTTCTAAGTAGTTAAAATATCACAAATATCAACAAAAACCAAAGTAAAACAAACAAGAGTGCTTTAGTATTTTTTTCACTTTCTTCAATTCACTTAAAATCTATACAAGAACGATAATTAAGCATGACGTAATTTTTGAAACACTAATAGTTTATTATTTTTAGGCGAATAATACTACACATTGATGAAAAAAATGAATGTATACACATTTGTTGTTGCATCAACACTAATAAAAACATTTAATTATAATTATTTTAAGTTAATACGTATTATTAAACATACATATATATAAATATGATTGCTGATTAATGTTAGCAATCCTTAAAAGTTGATTGAATTAAATTAAACTATAAAAAATCGGTCAAATTTCGTTCTCCACCAAGGCGCGGAGTCGAGTATTGCACTTTCACATAGGACTGTAGTCATGGAACTATTAACATCCGAGGTTATTGTCATGGACACTGTTGATACGCTTATAAACAAACTAATAAGGTTATGGAAAAAACCAGATGGTCCTTGAATTAGCTATTGTTTTCAAATATACATTTGTCCTTATAATCATTCAGATTATAATACCTATTATGAATTTAAATTGTTTTTTTATTTACTTTCATTAAAGAAATAATTTTGTATTTTAGAATTCAAATGTGAAAACCTCTAATGGGTAAAACTGCGTCTTCTATAGTTAAAACCAAATTTTTATTGAATGATTTGATTACAAATTAAAACTTCTTAGCAATGACAAGAATTTATTGCTAAAAATTTACTTGATAGGTAGATGCTTTCGTATTTTTGTCATAGTTATATTTTTGGAAAATTATTGAATATGTATTAAGCTATTAAGCTGCTAAATACAGCAGCGTGATTTTTATTTGTAATGAAAGCGTCTAATATAAACTGGTTTACATTACAGCCTAATAAAAAGTCCACCGCTGAATATAAATTTTCTCACAGGGTAGATATTTCCCATGGTCGTTACACTAAACGGGCGTTTTGTCAAACGCAGTTTTTTATTATTTTGGGCTCGTAACAGGTATCACATATTTCAGCTTTCCTCCGTCGCCTCTTAAGACACCCAAATGATATTTGGTAGTGGCGGTAAAAGAGAGATTCTCTCTGTCTTACCGCCACTTGATGGTAAACCGGTTTGAGCTAAAGTAAATAAGTTATAACTAAAACGGATTTGTACTGTATAAGTCGAATGAAGCCGTGGTAGCTCAGATGGTTAGCGCTCGCTGTAAATCTCACAGTGTGCGAGCAAACCAGGTTCGATCCCCGCCGGCACCAATGAAATTGTTAATTGCAATTTTAAGTGCTGATTTACCATGTGCTTGGCGGTGAAGGAAAACATCGTGAGAAAACCTGCATGTCAGAGAAATAAGAAAAAAAATATTTCGAAGACATGTGAAGTTAGCCAACAAGTATTGGGGCAGCACGGCGGACAATTCCTTGCTCTAAAAACCCTCTCAGAAATGAGCAGAGGCCTGTGCCCAGCAGTGGGACGTATATAGGCTGTAACTTTACTTACTTTTACTGTATAAGTCGACCTTTCTAAAGTGGTTGGTAATTTCTATTATTTACTTGTAATACTGTTTCATTCTACTATATTTTAAATTTAATCGATATAATATTATTATATGCCGTAACTGTACGTTTTTCATCTTTATACAATTTTGTCAAAAGCTAGTTGGCTTGTTATGCGTAGTACAGTGAATATTTGAGTATATTTCATTGCGATGTATGTGATGCTTAACAACTAGATTAATTTCAAGTAGCTTACAGAACACATGCTGAGCTTATCGAGCAGCCTGACTACAGACTATTTACCACCAATGAAGTGGATTATATCTTTTGTAACATGACCATGGAACTGGACTTTTGTGGTAGAACCACGCTGCAGCTATATTATGGTTGTAGCACGAATGAGTCAGCTCGACCCGGGAAGGACCACGCTCTCACAGTATACCAGCGTAAAATAGCAGCTTAAAATTGCTGTGATTCTTATGGTTAATGTAGCGATCCTGTGACCCTTTTTTAACCCTAGAAAACGAGGCATTCCGTCTTAGTATTTAGGGGTGACAACCTATCTGCGTTTTGATTCTCTCTAAGAGCCACAGCATCCACTTACCATCAGGTGGACTGTGTGCTCATTTGTAACCCTTATTCTATAAAAAACATAATAGTCTCAACATTTTTTTTGTGGTAGAGCCGTGCTGCAGCTATATTATGGTTCTACCACGAATGGGTCGGCTCGACCGGGGAAGGACCACGCTCTCACAGAATATCAGTGTCAAAGCAGCTTAATGCTGTTGTATTTCGCATGGTGAGTGTATAGAACCAGAGACCTTTTTACTGGGAACGAGGTATTTCATCTTAGTCCTCAGGGGGGAGGGGGGCAACGCATCTGCATTTTGATCCTTAATCGAGGACAGATGTAGAGTTGTATGGGCCACAACATCCCCTGACCATCAGGTGGACTCTGTGGTCGTTTGCCACCTTTATTTAATTAAAAAAAATCAAGTAGCAGGTGATCTTTTACCCAGAGTGCTCTCAATGCTTTATAACATCTATATGAGGCGTGTATATTTGCACCGCGAAATAATGTATACAATAATGGTGTCAAAAGCTAAGAAGAGAACGGGTGATATGTCAGATATCGGAAATTATATAACGACATCACTCGTCATGGTAACATCGAAAGTGCTTGACGATCTGCTTGAGTCTCAAAACACATGATGGTCTTCATGATCTGTATTTCTGGATGCAAGGAGCAAGCGTACCATCAAGTCCTTAATATCCACAACGTCAGTTAAAATCCACTAGTGAACTTTAATTTCAAAGGAGATGGGCTAAAAGTTCATAGGAAGTTGGGCCTGATGTCACAGTAACGATTACTGCATGATTTTCTTCATATACTAATACCATTTAAAAAAAAAAACTAAAATGTTTACGGCTGCTTCGTGGTAGAAAAAATAATGAATGTTTTTGGTTTATATGAAAGCAATGTAGTTGCTTATGTTATGCTTAAAATGTTATTCTTACGCCAAGCTCTCACATTACACTTTTAAGAAAATAATTATCATACTTTACCATAATTTATTGTAAGACATTCACACATAGGGGATTTAGACGCCGTTCAACTAAATTCTAAACATTTGAAATAATTATAAAAAAGCAGAGGGAGTATAAATTAAAAACACTTTCTATTTTAATGATTTATTCATCGTCCACTTCATCATAAAGAATTAAAATATTGTTTAAAAATGGTGCAGGCGGAATTAAATTCTCTTGATGCCTCGTCCAGCTTAGATACCACATTATGGACTTTACATGATAACAGCAACCTACATTTCTTTTCCCTACCAAGCAATTACAATAATACTGTTTGATAGCCTGTCTACCATTAAGAGAACTGTGAACTAAAATATATGTAAAATATGGTTTTGGCCTTACTTGTCTCGATTTTATTCGACCTCCTAATAGCCAGCTGGAATGACTGGATATTGACAGTTCTCTTAGTAGGTTGCTGTCCGTTTCTCGACACACTTCCATTTCATATCACCTATCTTGTCGTATGTGTTCTCCATAATAGGACCTAGCCTGCTTAATTTGCGAGCTGGGGAAAATCATTTAAGTTATCATTTTGCACATGTATTATTTTAAAATCAGCTCTTCGTCGGTTTATATTATTTTCAATCACGTAACAGCCTAAATCGTTTTCTTTGTTCACGTTCTCATTGATTATTTGTAAAATATCCCCAGCATCCAACGAATCACCGAACGAAGAAAATGATTTGATCACAGAAATCGTATTAATATTGTTTATTACGATTTGTATTATTACGATTTCTGTGGATTTGTTTAAAACGTCGGAGCTTTTTAACTAACGTTGACATGAGTTCCGCTTTGTGGCTTGTATAAAACATTGATAATCGATTGTGAAATCGATTTATTAATCTATTCAGTCAATTTATTTTTACGATTTTTTTGAAACGTTGAAGTGTCACGAGGAAATCATTATTTAAATAACAAGTTTTTTAATCTTATCTAGAGAATAAAACACTGAATCACTTTTTATTATCTTTTCTATTTTTGTATCAAAATCGATTAACTAACCTAAATCATCTCACTTGTGTAACGTTAGGCCCAAATTCGGCCGTCTCCTATAAGTGCTAATTTACCACGTGCTCGGCGGTGAAGGAAAATGTTTTATTCATATGTATATATATATATATATATATATATATATATATATATATTTTACGTGAACATTACACGTTTAAATAATACTAATTTTCACGGATTTTATCGCGTAAATAAACTGTTTTACATACTCGACATTTAGAGCACTTTACAGCACCCAAGGTCACGGGGGGGGGGGACTGAGATGTTCAACGTCCAGATGTCATAGTTATTAATTTTTGTTCCAATCTACACAGTATGAACTTATAGTGTCTTGAAGTCTTGCAGTTGTATGCTTGGGCTGGGATTTAATTTTATTAATTATAGAATCCCGAGCAGATGGTATTCTCTATTGAAATTAGAATGTTTTTTGATTTCTATAGTCTCGCGAATCATCCTTGGAAGGAATCGGTGTTCTTTAGCTAGGATTTGTGGTTTATCAAATCTGATGTAGCAAATGTGGTCTCCCTTACATAGGCCAAATATCCGTCAAAACTAGTATTATTTAAAAAGTAAAGTTCTAAGACGTGAGAAGTCCGCCAATACGTACTGGGGCAGCGCGGCATACACTTTCTTGGCCTAAAACTCCCGCAGAAATGAGAGGAGTAGAACGAAAATAGGCTGCAACTTTACTTGTTTACTTTTGGTAAATCCTACTTTATCCGCCAATAACGACGCAACGTAACTTCAATTTGATGTCTACTTTTTAGTCAACATGGTGAACAAAGAAGGACATAGGTGGAGTGGAGGATTCTGGTGAATCGCACTGCTGATACAGTTGTGTGAGGCAGCATGAAGTGAAGTTTTTTTCAAGGGTTCAATGTGGCCAGCGGGTGTTAGGATCCACACTTGGTTAGAAAGACTGGTGATTCCGTGCTTTTTTGACTATTTATACTCTGGACAATGGAAATCAGAAAGGCTGGCGCTGGCGAGGCTACGCTAAGTCAATTACAATGCTGATATGACAAAATGATTTTTATCGATAGTCCTTACCCCCATGATAGGTGCTGTGTGTGTTGGACATTTCGTCAGAAATAAAAAGCAGCAGATATAGTATTCGAAATTTATTGCCGTGATTATGGTGGTACTAAATGAGTTTTGAATAGTTTAAGTACGTCATACAATTATCATAACTCAAGGTTTTATTTTACAATTTATATTTTGTTTAATAAAACATAATAATGTTTCTTTTCCGTTATATTTTATCCGTTAACTATCAAATCCAATAACACAGTTTAAGATGATGCAACAATTCATATAAAACACTTTTATACTTTATCATTGCAAGGAAACATCACCAAGAATGATGTTATACTCAGTAAATAATTTAAATAATTTAGGATATCGCTTTTTAATTTTAGTTAACATTTCGTTGCGTTTTATTAAAATATCCGCTGTAGATTTTGTAGAAAATTTATTCACAGAATGGCTCTTTGTTTCCTTGCTTAATAAATTCTTTATACACAGACATACATGATTTGGTAGTCTTATGTCTTCCTCACTGCAGTACTGTGTCTCCACATTATGATACTTTTCTTTTGTCGCGGAGAACGGTAAATCATAATTAGCGATGTGTTTTGCATCTATTAGAATTGTCTCTTTATACACTTCAGTTGGTGCACTACAAATTGATTTAACCCTTTTGTAATTTTCTTCTGAAAAATCTAAATAAGTATTTAAATAAGGGAAAGAATTTTTGGGAAACAAGTTAGTACATTTTACTTCAGGGCAATCCCTTAGGCGGTGAATATCTTCAAATAAAAGAATTTCTGGATCTGAACTTTTCGATGTACTTGATTGCGTCAATGGCGTTTTTGTTGTTGATATTGATGGTTCTGATTCCATCTGTACTGGCAGTGAATGACACTTACATCGCTTGGATTGTAAAAACTTCGTAATTTTTTCAAAACCATGGCATTTAGCATAAGTGAATTTTCTCTGTACTCTAATTATAGGTAGATCAACTTCTAAAGGTAATGTTTCTCTACTGCCATAATTTATTGGTGGTGTGTCACATAAGGTTCCTTCAATGACAAATGGTTCCATTTCACACATATCGTGAGAGGAGTAACTTGATTCCAGGTGATCAAAATTAAATATATTTTGAACATCGTCTTCTTCTAGCAATAGTGATGATGGAGATTTTGCACTACTTTTCACTTCTTCTAGCTGTAAATGTACCATTTTTTCTAAATCAAGTAAAAACTGTGTTTGTTCTGGAATAAGTTTTAAAGAAAAAGTAATAAATTTCAAAAATAATTGAACTATTTTTTTAATTTTCTCTTCCCAGTGATTATTTAGCATCGATATATCAACTTCCTTTTCTTTAAATGAATTTAATAAATCTACTCCTTTTTTAATTTTTTCCATCAAATCAGTTATTTCTTTACTGTGATATTTTTCTAATAGTATTTTTTTTACTTTACATTTCTTTCTTTCTGTGCACATTACATACATTGTGCTTGTTAGTCTTTCACACAACGCTTGTTTGTAAAAAACGTTTAATGTTTCATTTCTTTCATTGAGCGCATAATTAGTGAGTCTAGCTGACCTTTCGTATTCATGTTTCAAGAGAAGATCGTAATATTCTTCAATTTTATTAATTTCATTTACATAAGTTTTATTTAAGTGTTGTTCGGGTATTTTTCTTTCTTTTAGCAATTTTAAACGTATTTGGTTGTTTGAATAGCTAATCATGCTAGCATGTAAACTATTTGTTACCTTTTGGACTTCTGTTTTTACATGCAATTCCAGTTCTTTAAGAGTATCTTCATAAAATTTGGCAATTTCTTTAGACATTATACTCATTTTATTTTTAAAAACATTTTCGTATTTACATTTCACTTTTTTTAAAATGGCTTCTTGTTCACTTTTCAAAATAAATCTCCAACAAGCATCGTTTTCTTGCAATATTCCTGTAAGTGAAGCTAGAAATTTCTCATGATTTTTATGCAATATGTCATCTCCGATCTTAAGAATGCCTTCATGGGCTATACCCCTAGTTGTTTTTGAAGTAAACGCTGGTTTAAGCTGTATTTTTCCAATAAGCAGATCACTTGGCGACTTCCAAGAATCTTTTAAAACATTTGAATCATCTCTTTGAAAAGATTTTTCTTTAGTTTGTATCTTCCTTTCATCATGTTCTTTACCTTTTTCAATACTGTAATTTATATATAAATCGGCATATATATTTCCGATTATTTCATGATCATTGTTAGTTGTGATAATATTATATTCCATTGTAAAGTAACAAATAAAAAATTATTTACTTTAAAAAAACATACATTTGTTTGTCATCTTGACGTTTTCTATATAATGAATAAAAACAATATTTCCGAGTTTCCAAGCCAGGATTGCTTTATTTACATAAAAGATAATACAATAGTAAGAAAAATCTTACATATTTTTCATGTAGTATGTGTGTAAAAACGGAAATGTAGACGTAATTTTTACGTTTAAATTATTTAAAAAGCTGGTAAGAAAACAAATAGTTAAAACATATCTACTTAATTCCATCTTGTACTTTACAATGTCAACATGAATACGAAATGTTTACGTGGGTTTTAAGGGAGTGAAGCAGACGCGGGCTGGCGAATGGCGCGTGGGCCCCCGTCGAGTGTCCGGCTAGCTGCTATCGATATTTTTAAACATTTGGATGATGAAAAAAACGACTACGACACATGAATGTTTTTGAAGCTTCTTTTGTTGCTTAATGTTTTGTCGATTAATACAACATTTTAAATTATATTTCATCGCTTCATTCTTCAGATATAATATTAACAACGCAGTTTCCTTATTCTACAAGGCTAAGTCGCACCTTTAAAGATTTTTACTCTACCCACATCAAAACAATTGCCCCTTCCCACTAACGTCTCTCCTCGTCCGAGCGTACAGCCTCATTCCTTTTTCGGGCGAGGCAGAGTGCACACCTTACTTAATTATCTTAGAACAGTACAATGTCGAAACGCAGTGCTGCAGACAAAATTGGTTATTATCAAAAGAAAATCAAAAAACTAGAAGAACAAGAATGAAAGCGACATAAACGAGTCATTGCTTACTCCAATTCTTTTGAGGCCGAAGAAAATTTTGGTAACTGTTACCGTTACGTAATTCGATTCTAGTGCATGAGTGATCATTAAAATATAAGTTAAGACTAAAAACCTTAGCGTTGATCGTGAATCAACACGAATACAAATTTACCTGGGGACTTGCCGAGAGTCAGTACGAAGGTATCCCAACCGGGGAGCTAGCCGAGAGTTAGCACGAAGGTTATATAAACTTAAATACATCATATACAAATATATTAAAGCGTCAGTTTTTATGTTTTAAGTTATGTTCATTTAGATTCTTATCATAACAATTTTTTGTTATCTACCTCCGAAATAAATAATTTATTTCTTGTTGTAGATGACGAAGCTGAGGATAGTAATAAGGTCGTAAATGATGACACCATGGTAGCATCCATTCCCTCCGAGGAGCATCCTCTGTTGACAATTGAAGATATAGCGGAAGAATACAGTTCACCAGGATCTTGCCCACCATTGGCTTCCTCTTCTACCCAAGGGTCTTACTAAGAAAACAAGACAAAACTTGTTAAAAGAGAATTTAATTCCCGAAAATTGCAAGCTTTTGAGAGCACCTACGCTGAATCCCGAGATTGCAGCGGCACTTACCGATGCAGCCCGAAATAGGGACAAGAAAATAGAGGTCGATCAGCAAAGGCTGGGTATAGGTATTACTGCCGTTAATAGAGCTATGTCTTTACTTCTCATCGGAGACAATAAAGTTCAAGCGATAAAAATTTTATCTGATGCTTGCCGTATATTATCCGATCTCCATCACTCTGAGACCCAAATCAGAATTAAATTGGTGACACCTGGATTAGACAAGTCTTTTTTTAAAGTCCTTCATGAGAGTGAAAGAGATGAAACTCTTTTTGCCAATAGCTTCCTGAAAAGATTACAATATTTTTATGACTGTTGGCTTAAATTAACAAAAAATAAAATTATTTTAAGATTGATTCGGGATAGATTTACAATACCATTTAATAGACAAATTACTCAATGTAGATTACCTTATTCAACTTTGTCACAAAAAGAGAAACAATACATTTCTGTAGCTATTAGTAATTTGTTACACTTAGGAGCAATATCAAAGTGTCATCCTTCAAAGAATCAGTTCATATTCTCAGTTTTCTTAGCACCAAAACCTAACGGAGACAAAAGATTTATTCTGAATTTAAAGTCCCTTAATAGGTTCATTGCAATATTTCACTTTAAAATGGAGGATTACAGAACTCAAAGTTAATACCTCGTAATGGTTACATGGCTACCATTGACCTACGGGAGGCTTACTTACTAGTGTCTATTAAGTCGAGTCATCGCAAATTTTTAAGATTTGAATTTGAAGATGAAAATTTAGTTAAAACCCTATATGAGTTTAATGCCATGCCGTATGGCCTGTCCGTTGCTCCTAGAACATTTAGTAAGATAATGAAAGAGGTAATAACCAACTTGAGAAGCAGGGGATATAAGTCTGTCATATATCTTGACGACATTCTTTGTATAGGTAAAGACTACAATGAATGTTTAGACAACGTTAACGCGACTATGCATCTTTTACAATGCTTAGGTTTTGTTATTAATTATAATAAGTTCTGTCTAGTCCCGCATATATCTTGCAAATATTTGGGATTTATTTTTGATTCCACGGAACTTTCTATAAGCCTACCCATAGATAAACAAAATCATATAGCTCACTTAGTACAAAGGTTCTCTTTCTTAACTAGTTGTTCGATCAGAGATTTCGATCATTAGATAGGTGTTCTTACGGCCGCTTGTCCTGCGGTAAAATATGGCTGGTTTTACACTAAATGACTAGAAAGACAAAAATACCTTGCGCTTCAAAAATATAAGATGTATAATAAAAATATTCAACTTTCAAAAAGATATCTTACCAGATTTGCAATGGTGGAAAAAATGAATTTTTTTACCAAAAATTCGTTATATAACTAAATTTAATTATGAGATATTTACAGACGCGTGCTTGATAGGTTGGGGTGCTTGTTGTAATAATATTTGTGTTGGCGGAGGATGGAAATACAATGAACTCGACTATCATATAAATTACCTAGAATTACTAGCCATATTTCTAGGTATTAAATGTTTTGTTAGGGATAGGTCGGATTGTAATATTTTGTTGCGCGTAGATAATACAACAGCTATAAGTTATATCAATCGAATGGGAGGAATCCAATTCCCCCATTTGAACGAGTTATCTTGATCAATATGGCAATGGTGCGAGAAGCGAAACATTTGGCTACACGCATCTTACATAAATAGTAAAGAAAATGTAGAAGCAGACCAAGAATCAAGGAAACTAAACCTAGATACATAATGGGTGCTAAGTGATAACGCTTATATAGAGATCATACAAACATTGGGGGGAACCAGAAATAGATCTTTTCGCTTCTCGTGCCAATGCTAAATGCACGACCTATGTGTCTTGGAGACCGGATCCAAATGCCTTATTAGTAGATGCTTTCACTATTGATTGGAGATACAAATATTTCTTTGCGTTTTCACCTTTTTCTTTAATAATCAAATGTCTGGAAAAAATCATAAGCGATAAAGCCGAAGGTATTTTAGTCGTTCCTTATTGGCCATCCCAGCCTTGGTACCCAATGTTAAACAACTTACTCAGATCAGATATTTCATTCTTCAAACCTCACAGAGATCTCTTACGGTCTTCTTACAGAACTCCTCATCACCTGCACAAACAACTTACCCTGGGTGTAGCGAGGCTCTTAGGGTCGCATTTATAAGAAGAGGTACACCACCACCCGCTCTTCACGTGATGATGGCATCCCTTTCAAAGAATGCAAGACTTCAGTCATAAGCTGTGGTCAACATAATTAAATAATTTAGATCCTTTCGCAAATTCTATACCGTCAATTTTGCTATTTTTATCGGAGCAATTTAATAATGGGGCTTCTTACGGTTCGCTCAATAACCACAGGTCGGCTTTATCATTACTTCTGGGAGATTGTGTCGGTTCTAAAGAGCAAATAAAAAGATTCTTAAAGGGAGCATTAAAGTTAAGACCAGCCCTTCCAAAATATACTGGTACTTGGGATCCAAAAATTGTCTTAAATCATATTGGAGATTGGGTTCCCAATGAAACACTTTCGATTGAAAAACTTAGCAGTATTAATGGCATTATGCACAGCACAAACATTATCTTTAATAAAGATAGACAATATTAAGATATGTTCTTCAGATGTTAGAATCAGCATCACTGATATAATTAAAACGTCTGCAGCGGGACGTCAGTAACCCCTTCTAATTTTACCTTATTTTATTGAAAATAAAAATATTTGTCCAGCCACGGCAATAAAAGATTATTTAGAGATTACAAAAAAAATCAGACAAGCAGGTTGTCCGAACTTGCTAACCTACAGGCGGCCACACAAGGCGGCCACTGCTCAATCTATCAGTAGGTGGATTAAGAAAGTATTAGCGGAGAGCGGCTTGGACGTGCCTGTTTTTAGTGCACACAACACGCGCCATGCTGTCACCTTGGCTGCTAGGTTCGCTGGAATCTCTCTAGATACGATCAGAAAAACAGCCGGTTGGTCGTCAGCATCAGAGATCTTTGCAAAATTTTACTATCGCCAAATTATTGACGAAAATAAGTTTGCGAGAACTGTCCTCCTAAATAATTAAATTTAATTTATTAAATAAGATTTAAAGAAGAAGTTAATAAGTGTATGTTATTTTGATAAGATTGAACTAATAAATGATAATTGATTTTTTTATGATTTTTCTTTTAAAGTTCAACGTACCATAAGTAACCCAATAAGCAAAACTTTAAGCTGTATATATATCAATATTTAAGAAAATATTGATATATTTTACTCAAGCCTAGCGACAAGCTACAGATCGCACTTTAATTAGTGTAGGATTATTTCATAACTCACTGATAGTTGAATACATCTACGTAGTATACAAATATATTGTAAATGATTGATTTAACCACCGTTTATTTACAAAATAGTTTCACATAATAATTAGGTGCACCAAAAGAGCCTTCTCGTGTGGCGATACCTATATTATATTAAGGACAGGTACAACATGATACGACTCGTACCTATGCCTATAAATGCTTACTTATGAGTCGACGTATACTTACTTTTTAACATGAAAATAAACTACATAACTACCGAGGTAGGTACCTAGTTT